ATCCTCCTTCCTCCCCTTCTTGAAAATAGGGACCTCATTGGCCCTTTTCCAGTCCTCTGGGACTTGGCCCGTGTGCTACGAGTGCTCAAATATTCTTGCCAGTGGCTGTGCAATGATATCGGTAGCTTTGGCCTTTCTAACTGCCTCCCTAGAACTGCGAGCTGAGGAGGCATACTCCTCTTTAGTAATCTCTCCCTGTTTCCACTGCTTATGTTGGCTGCATAAAAAGTGCAGAGGGTTCCAGAGGTGACATTTCCCCCCTGCCCCCATGTGTGTTCTCACCTCGCATTCATCCCTGTTTTTCAGTCTGTGTGTCCTCACCTGGTGCTCTCTGAACAAGTGATGAGTTCTTGCTCAGCATTATGCCCCTCAGGTTTTTTTGATAAATTCCTCTCCCCTCTCAGATGTTTTAACATGATATATTTTGTTGCTATGCCAGTAGAAAAAATACACAAACTCTGTCAGCTCTGCAAATAAACTAGAGCTAGTAGAGTTGCTCATGGAAGACAGCAGACAGCTCTCTCTAGTGCTGAAGAGGAAGACAGGTACCATGGAGCTTCGGGGCCCGATCACCAGTGGTACTGGTGAATATAGCCCTTGGCAGCAAGTAAGGGCTGTGCAGATTCCACTTGGGTCACTCTCATCCTGTAGCAAAGAAAACTGCTGTAAGCATCTGTTCATTGTAAGTCCTATACTGAAGGCAGTGCTGAGCCCTGCTCCCATTACTCCATTGCGGAGTAGAGAAAAAGACCTCCTGAGTATTGTTTCACTACTTTCATCTTCAACACCATCACTTCTGTGTTTAGCTGCTCAGCAAGTCTGTGAATTTTTCTTTGCTCTGACCAGAAGCAATTATATATTTGCTTTGGGGATAAAGAAAGTAAGTTAGATAATATATGTAATAAAACACACATGCATTGTCATAGCCCAGTGTTAAGGAGGAGGTACTTTTCTCCCAGCAGGTAAGCTTTTTCCTTTTTCCACAAGAAGAAACAACTAATTCTTCAGTTTTAAACTTAACTCATGGTAAATTTGTAGTGTGCTTTTGTGCTCATTAAAGTTAGTTGGAATATTACCACAGATCTCACTAGTACAAGCAACTAACTGTCTTGTTTCCCAAGTTTATCTTTGTGGCCTTACAGTAATACTTAATTATTATACTTAAAAGGCTTTCCTTCCAAAAAGATCCCCAGACACTCGCCAAACTCTTAGTATGCTTTACTTCCCACTGGTTGATTTGCCACTTTCTTTAACGTGAACAGGAGCAGTCCTTGTATGCATGTCACTGGACGTGTCTACACATAATGCTACTTCGCCGTAGCAACACAACATAGCGGACCCCATGATGCCACAGCTATGTTGCTGTAGCGATGCACTCCACCGTTTTAGCTCATCGCTAGGGCAATGTAGTGCCTAAAAATAACTCTGTGCAGTACCGGCTGTTACTGTACCATCTTTTAGTACTTCTAAAAGTAACAATGGCTCCATAGCAGCATGTTTAGATGTGCCCACTCAATTACAGTCCTGTCTGCATAGCAGGAACCAACTGAGAATCACCATCCTGTATAATAAGAGTTGGGAGGTCAGAGGACCAGTTTGTCCGATCCTATTGGTATTGCTCTTGTGTAAATATTAAAATAGCAATTCTGTAGCCTTTGCCGATGTTACATTCATATTAAACCCTGGAATAAAAACATCTGAAATAAGGTGATTTGAGCTTTGAAGCTTGTTTGTCTGCTGAAGTGTTGCTTAACTTTTGGTCTGTTTCTTTGAGAAGAAGTAAGTCTGGCTTTTTTGTTGTTGCTTTTTACAGTGTTGCATTGATGAATCACAGTTGTTGTCCAAATGTAATTGTAACATATAAAGGGACCTTGGCTGAAGTCAGGGCTGTCCAAGAGATTGAACCTGGGGATGAGGTAAATCCATTTTATATGAGTATTTTATTTGCAGTCTTGTGCATGTGCCTCTGCATGGCAGGGAATCCAGCTTTTCATGTTCACTCCATTCAAAGGTGAGTGACGGTTCTGAAAATGCTCACTTAAACGTTCAGGGTGGGTGAGATGTGATCCTGCAAGGCAGCATAATTTTGGGAGAAGAGCAGGGGAATGGAAATGGTGATGAACTGATACCAGTTCATCACTTTGATATGGTTCCTTTATGCCTCAGTTTGCCAGTTTGTAACCTGGGCAGAATAACAACCCCTCAAGGTTGTTTTGTGGCTTAATTTGGTGATTATTTGCCTGTTGCATTGAAGTCTCCAGCTGAAATGAGTCTGAATATATGCAAGCTATTATTATTTCTATAACTTCCATTATAACAGTACTACAGTAATGTTGAAGTATGCAGAAGGAGGCAACATAAAATGGGGGAACAATTTCTGTCTGGGAAGATGATCCACATAATATGGAATACATCTCTGCCAGTTTAGATAAAATACAGCCGTGCATGACCCCGGATTGTTATGACCCCTTTGACTGGAGGTGGGACCAGACTTCCAGTAAAGGGCTGGATGTATTTTCCTTAACCAGAATAAGGCCTGTTAGGTTACATCCAGCCTGTCTGAGTCCCAGTCAGTGATCTTCACTAATATGTCTTGACCAGCAAAGAGCACTATTATCTCCAGTTTGACATGGCCAGAACTGGGGAGAGCTGGTCTCTCATAACTGTGTGTGACAACAACAGGGTCTTATATAGTTAGATGATGTGTTTTGTGTAGGATTTATTTTATAATTACTTCCCTGTTAATAGCACTTGAATGGTAAAGGCTAACCTGTTTAAATTGAGTTCAATATTAATTTTGGTTGTGATTACCAAGCATATAAAATGAGATTTCAGCCAGTAAAAGGAGGAAAGCTTTTGGGATTAAATGATTTACAGTGGTGGACAGTTTCTCACCTGAGTAAACGGGTCAGGTGTGTGGCTCCTTTCTGAGAGTAGGGGATATGGTCATAGGCTGATGTTAAACGATTAAACAATGCTGCAACCCAGTTTTGTTAATTCGCATGAGACAGTTAAAAGCTGGTAATTTAGCGTGACATTCTGGATAAACTTATCTCTCAACTGGGCTTGCTGTCTGAAGTTAAAATTTAACACGTTTCTTGACATGTTACTTGGCTGAACTCTGATTTTTGCAGAAAGACTAATAAACTCTTGGTAGAAAATTCCCCAAAACAAAATGTTAGCATATTTCAGAGTTGTTCTTCTAACATGTAAAAAAAACTTGCTGTGTGTCGACAAGGATTGAATAGGAATAAATGATTTTCCTTGTGCAAAACAGTCACATGGCCTGTGTCCCCATCTTCTGGTTTATTCTTGCTATTGCATCAGAAAATTGTTAGTTTCCATTGTGTAAAGTCCAGTTCCTACTACTTGTGTGTTTTGTGCCTGGGGGAAAATTGAGCATCAGTACAGAATAAAGACAAGCATAAATAGTAAATGAAGTTGACTGTGGTGTTCAAAGGCACAGCAAAGAATGGATCAGATTGAGTGCAGCAGTTCAGACTTAATTATAAATGAGAGCATTTTAATGAATTTGTTTCAATGCAGTGGTAGACTGTAAAGTAGTCCACTGTTGTGTAATTGTATGCTTCTTGGGGAGATAACTTTTTAAAAGATGGAACAGTTTGATTGCATTTATGAACTGTCAATTTAAAAAACATTCAACAAAACTCTTTGGGTTTGTCACCAGAAATTTCCCCTCTACCACCATAATGCAGCAAAAAAAAAATCTTCAAGGAAACT